AAATAGCCAAAAAAATTCGAAGACAAAGAATTGGAGGCATTACTCGAGAAAGATCCGAGTCAAACGCAAGAGGAGCTTGCAAAATCATTGGGAGTTACGCAACAAGCAGTTTCCGTACGATTTAAATCCATGGGAATGGTTCACAAGCAAGGCAATTGAGTGCCTTATGAACTGAAACTGAGAGACGTTAAAAGGCGATTTTTCACTTGCGAGCAGCAGATTCAAAGGCAACAAAGAAAGGGTTTTTTACATCGAATTGTGACTGGTGATGAGAAATGGATATTCTACGATAACCCCAAGAAGAAAAAATACTACGCTATGCCCGGTCAATCGTTGCCATCGACCTCAATATCAACACCAAACCCGAATATTCATGGTTCAAAGGTCATGCTGTGTATCTGGTGGGACCAAAAGGGTGTTGTATACTATGACCTGCTACAATCTGGCGATTCCATTACGGGCCATCGGTATAGGCTACAATTGATTTGTTTGAGTCGTGCATTACGAGAAAAACGGCCGAAATACGAGCAAAGACATGTCAAAGTTATTCTTCTGCATGATAACGCTCGGTCTCATGTCGCAAAAGTCGTAAAAAATTATTTGGAAACGCTCAAGTGGGATATTTTACCGCACCCGCCGTATTCACCGGACATTGCTCCTTCTGATTACTGGTTGTTCCGACGGATGCAGCACGATTTGGCAGGTCACCGGTTCACTTCTTTCGCAGAAATCGAAAATTGGCTTCTAACTTGGATCGCCTCAAAAGACGAGACATTTTTTCGAGATGGAATTCGAAAATTGCCTGAGAGGTGGGAAAAAGTAGTAGCCAGCGATGGACAATACTTTGATTAATCTGTTCATTCATTTTGTTCTGAAATAAATGCATTTTTGACCACAAAAAACGGACCGAACTAATTTGTACTCCCAATAAATAAAATTATTTATTTACAACATGTGTTGAAATAAGAAAATATGTAAAAATATATATGAGAATGCTTAATTAATATGTTTTGTAAGCTAATTGTGAAAATAGATATGACAACAATATGATTTTGAGCAGAGCGATCGCTCTAATCGCGATTTTATCTTATTTTTTAAATATTTTGATATTAGATTCTTAATAAGCAATGTCGAAAATATTAATTTACAAAGTTTTTCATGGAAAAATATGAAAATTACGTTTTTTAGCAGAATGCTTTTGGCTTATAACCGCCATTTTGTTTTATTTATTTCGAGTTCAGATTTGTAATCAGCGATGTCGAAAATATATATTTACAAAACTTTTCAATTTTTAGCTAAAATTTTTTGTTTATGTCCGCCATGTTTAGGGCCGCCATTCTATTATTTCAAAATTTTGATTTAAGTTCACGATTAGCGACTTAAAAAAACCCTATATATGGAGTTTTATCTAAATTGGAGAACTTTTCGAATTTTGGCCAAATTTTTTGGGGATTTAGTTCCACTGTACGGCGATGCGATCCTTGTCGCGGATGTCGAAATGGTGTCGAAGCCAGGTATCAGCGGAGCGGTTCTTCGATTAAGCAGAGTTGAGATTAAGCGGTGTGGAGATCGCGTGAATGTGGCCTCCCGACAGAGTGATTCCTGGCGCGTATCCACGACCGGAAATCTACCAGGAGCGATTTCGAAAGTACAGTGTCGATGTCGCGTATCCGTTAGTCGATGGCGGAATGATTTCTGTCGCGCATCCGCGAACTGAGAATCAGCCAGGAAAGATATCTAGGATCGTTCTCGAGTATCGAACTGCGTATCTGCAGAGGAGCGGTTTGACTCAGAAAGTGATCGGAAAGAAAGTGATCTGATCTGATCGGGGATCTGGTCTCGACTCGAAAAACGCGGCGGCTTATATACGCGAGACTTGCTTGATTCGCTGTGTTCTGCGGATGTTCGGTGTTCTATTTATTGTACGTTTTTCTACGAATTTTTCATATTTGTTTGATATTTATGTTTACATTAACGGGTTGCGCTGGGACTTAGGATAGTTACAGTTTTTTTTACTTTGAGAATGTAAATCATACTTCTAAATAGCGATTGGGCACAAATGGAATATACTGCTATTCATGTAACGATGTCTAACATATATCGTTACTAACAGCCCGACCGAACACCCGTCGGGCTGTAAACGGCGCTACGCGCCACACAAAGGCCGTTAGGCCAAATCTAAACATAATACGTGCCGCGCCCAAAACGCGTCTAAACAAGACAACAGCGAAAGCGACGTAAACAAAGATTGACAGCTTGCGCAGTCGATTATATAAACCGTGGGCGAGAAGTAAGCGGGACCAGACCGATCCGGACCGTCTACAGAACTCGATGCTTCAGAGCGGAAAGCGAGGATTTCGACCGTATCGTTTCTACCTTCCCGTCTGCTTCCAAATCCGTACAGACAAGACCGGCAAAAGGAGATTGTGTGTTTGCTATCTCCGTCAAGCGCTCTTGACACCGACTTCGCCTTCCCGTCTGGTTCCAACGACCGGCCAAAGAGTTCGTGTGTTCGCGAGTCCTATCGAGCATTTTCGATATCAATCGTATCCTATCTCGAACTATAAGTACACGTGCCAGTGTGTTCGCTGCGCACGAACGTTGTCGACACTTGCATACATCGCGTTAGCGACAAGCGAGTTGCCCGATATATAAGTGTAGTAAAAAGAAATCCATTATTTTTCCAATAGATGGCTTTAGTAATGTGTATCTCGCGTTGTATAAATGCAATCGGTTTACGCTAGATGGCGTTAGAAAGATAAGATTTCGTACTAAAAAAAACTTCTCACACAGTTTTGTGATTGTTTGACTCAGTATTGTTTGAGCGCTCGTCAAAGATAAACACAAGCAAAAAGAAAATACGCCATTATTTACAGTTTTTCTTCGATAAAGATAAAAACGCAAGCCAGGTGGCTGAAAATGTAAATAGTGTTTATGGTCCTGATACTGTAATAGCCAATCACGCGCAATTTTGGTTTCGCCGATTCTATTCCGATAATTTTGATGTCAAAGATGCACCACTCTCTGGAAGGCCAATTGTCGAAAATGTCGATAAAATAATGGAAATCGTCGTGTCCGACCTTCATGTAAGCACTATTTCGATTTCCCAGGAGCTAAACATTGCACAAAAAACCGTTTGGAACCACTTGAAGGCTGGATACAAAAAGAAGCTCGATGTATGGGTGCCACACGAGTTAACGCAAAAAAACTTCATGGACCGAATTTCCATCTGCGAATCGCTGCTGAATTGCAACAAAATCGACCCATTTCTGCAGCGGATGGTGACTGGTGATGAAAAGTGGGTCACTTACGACAACGTCAAGCGAAAACGGTCGTGGTCGAAACGCGGTGAGCCGGCGCAAACGGTGGCCAAGCCAGAACAGTCAGGAAGGTTTTGCTGTGTGTTTGGTGGGATTAGCAGAGAATCATCCATTATGAGCTGCTCCTCTACGGCCAAACTCTTAATTCGGACTTGTACTGTCAACAATTGGACCGTCTGAAGGAATCGCCCAGAAGCGGCCAGCTTTGACCAATAGGAGAGGAATTGTGTTTTATCAGGATAACGCCAGGCCACACACATCGATAGTTACTCGCCAGAAGCTCCGGGAGCTTGGTTGGGAGGTTCTTATGCATCCATTTTATAGTCCGGACCTGGCACCAAGTGATTACCACCTGTTCCTGTTTATGGCGAATGATTTTGCTGGTAAAAAATTCGCCTCAAGAGAAGCTTGTGAAAATCGACTGTCCCAGTTTTTTTTACCAATAGGGACAAGTATTTCTATGAGAGAGACATAATGGAATTACCTTCAAAATGGCAACAAGTTATCGAACAAAACGGTGCATATTTGACTTAAATCGGATCATTCTAACTATGCTATATGAAGCCTTTAATTTCATGCAAAAGTAATGGATTTCTTTTTACTATTATTTATTCGGGAGCGCCTCGCGGTTTACCGACATCGCCTCCTGCGATACACCGCCTTCGCGCTATACGCTCCGCCTACCGTGTTGCCAGACACGTACTACCGAAATCGCGATCCAATTACTGGCGTTGTCTTACGTCAACTCACCCGAGATATCGTATTCTGTTCTGTACCAAAGACTGTTAATAACCTTTTGTTATATATTTTTATTAATTACTTGTGGCAATCAATTATCGAACCCGGACTCCGACGAGCAAAATTTCTAGCAATTCTTTCAACACCGACACGCGGAGTGCGGCTGTTACATTCATATATTGATTTATACTAAATACTTGAAAAAGTATACCAAAATCAAAGAATTCGGATTTGTGGTGTTTCCTTGTTAGTTCTCAAGATATTCAACCGCGTCGAGTAAAATGAGATACTCTCTATACTTTTATTATTATTACTTTATTTAAGTTATAACACCTCTCTCTCTTATAAATTAAAATAAAACAAATAACTTACCAATAAATACACAAAACAGTATATCTGCAGCTTGTACTGATGATGCATCTACTAACAAGGCATCACAAAACCAATGATAGGCTATTGCCAACAATAGTCCTTTTGGAAACCACGCAGTGTTGATATTACAGTGGTTTAGTTTTACTATAAATGACCGTAATATGATGCCTGTACCCAATGGAATAAGTGTGCTATATATAGCCTCCTGGATGTTAATCCCAACCAGTGGTGGAGTAGATGTCCCCAACTGTTATAAAAAAATTATTTTATGAAGAATAATGAGAGAATATATTCTAAAGGACATCTCATCGATGACTTTCACATATGTTATCAAAAACAACCTCAAGTAACTTTTAAAAAGTTCATATCAAGAGAGTTTAATACTTTAGACTAATCTATTTTATATATTTATAACATTGGCATATGTTGCACATTAACAGCATATATTGGGTTAGTGTAAAAATTTTAATGAGTTCTATAATAAAAAAATGATCTAATAGAAAAACACATGGAAGCGTCCGCCTTCCATTTTGATGAACTTGAAATATATTGTAATTTAAACCAAAATATGGGATGTTTCTTTATACGTGCCTAATCGATATTTCATAATAAGTAAAAAATTAAGTAAAAAATTCCTTTGAAAAAAATTAACAATTTTTCTTAGGAGCACGTTTTATCAGTAATATAAGAGATAGAAAGAAACGTTCTAAATAAAAATTAAGTGATTTTAAGACTATATAGAAATGGCGTCTCCTGTTTTTATATAAAAAATATAATTTTAAACATACTCTAATTCATCTCTGATTTAAAGCAATTAATGATTAATTTAATTTAATGTCCTGACACATTTCTGAACATTATCTAGGGATAAGATAGTGTCGTGAGCATGGAGCATCAGGTAGCTCAGTAGTTTAGAGCAGTTGCCCGGCAAGCGAAAGACCCGGGTTAGAGTCCCGGCCTAGCAAACCGCACTTTCGATATTTTTCTCTCTCTGGAACGAAAATATACGCAGATCTCAAACGGCGTCCCGCCACCACTTAGTACGCTCTCCTCCTTCTATGGTTCAGACCTCCATAGAAGGAGGAAGGCGTATTAGATAGCGACGGGACGCCGTGCGTTCGAGATCTGCATATCTTTTCGTCCCAGAGAGAGAAAAATATCGAGAGCGGTTTGCTAGGCCAGGATTCGAACCCGGATCTTTCGCTTGCCGGACGACTGCTTTAAACCACTGAGCTACTTGATGTTCCACGCTCACGACACTCTCCTTTCCCTAGATAACGCTCAGAGATGTCATGCAAAGAGGACATACTATGTCTATTATATTAATATAAACATAATATATTTATAAATCAGTTTTTCAAATGATTTACTTAATTTAAGCTGTACTATTTAAACTACTCATCAGTTTTTTATAAGTTATTTAAATTCTTTTGTAGTTTCTCGTTTGTATGGCAATTTTATTTATTGTATTGTTGATTTATCGTGTCTCGAGAGGAGCCAAGTCTGCCCTCCTGACAATATTTTGTGTGTGTGTGTGCGCGAAGCAAGGCGCCTCCTCGCGAAAGTGTCAGTGCGCGGAGTGTGCGGGATCGCGAAAAAAAGTGACAGGCGGGGTAGGTCGCGGACAGTGCGACGGTACGCGAAACAGTGTCGCGTGCCGATGGCCCGCGAATATCACGGTCCGCGACGCGAATAGTGGCGAGCGGCGTTCGCGTACTGATTATCGGAGATTCGGGGCGCGTCCACGTAACATTTAGTGAATCTTCGCGCGTTTACCGGGATGCTGAGGAATGACCCCAGTAGATATACTAGGCGGGTTCTAACCCAGTCCTCCGAGGGGAGGTGAGGGGCGGAGGGAGGTACCGCGGGCGGGGGGTATGACGTCACAGGGGGGTATGACGTCACGGGAGGTATGACGTCACCGGGGGATTACGTCACCGTGGGGGGGATATGACGTCACCGCGGAAGGGGGGTATCATCGGTCTGTAATTGGGGGCATACCGATGTTACCGACGGTCGGTAATTTTTACCGATATTATATTTAATTACTGAATTTTTTACCAACATATAATTTTTACCAACATATAATTACACAATACTGACGATCGGTAATTTATTAACGATATTATATACGAACATTTAATTACTTAATTTTTACCATCACATATATATTTTTACATAATTTTTACTGTCATATTTACATAATACCGATGATCGGTAATTAGTGATATTATATAATTATTCTATATGTTTTCGATAGACCATTTTACCGATCTGCGGCGGTTTTTTTGCGGCAGATTTTGCGGCGGTTTTCGCGGCCGGTTTTGCGTCGCCCGCGCCGCCCACGCCATCCGCGCATTTCGCAGCGTGATTTTTAGTCACAGCTGCAAACTCTAATATTCTGCAAATGTATGCATTCGACAATTAGATGCGCAAGAAAAAGAATGTGACACATGATATTCTTATTACTAATGAGCATGTACACTGTGTCCCCGCGACAAGATTTTGCGTGTTATACATCACTCGCTGCGCTCCACAAAAACCGATTAACATTTTAAAACTATTTGTGGTGTATCGAGAAAATATGGGAAAAAGTCTAATATACATACACTGCAGATCTTGGGATTACAATTTATATATTTTAAAAGTGTTACATGTACAGATTATTTGTTTAATTCTTCATACATAATATTATTTATTGCGCACGCCAATAGTTCGCAATCGATGAGTGAACCACCGTCAAAGTCCCCGCTATTGCGTATTGTCGATATAGCATTATCCGTTTCGGAGATATTCTTCTCTCGAAAAATTTTTACAAAATTTCTACGTTTTGTATTAACAATGTGTGTATTTTCATATAACCATGAGTACATATGGTCAATGCAATGCTCGAGAGTAAACAAATATTCCACTGTAGCTGGTTGCAAGTACATGCAGTTACCGGATAATGTGAGTTTTAGAAGTTTCTTGCCATATATTGTGCACCACTCCACCGCCAAATCGCGAATCCATAGCGGAGAGGATGACACCTCGGTTGTTTGCAAAAGTTGTAAAATATCTTCACGTTTTGCCATCAATCCTCCCCAAATTGCCGAGTGTAAGACCAATTCATTGCCACGATTGTCACCGAGGATTAGTTGCACTGTGGATACCAGTCCTACGCTGATCCAAATATCCAAGTACTTAAAAGGGGTGTATATCAGTTGGACACGGGGCAATTGGACACAGTCCAATCACATGTCGCTGTTCCAAGGGACCCTACTAATGTCTCTAATCATACGGTGCTGTGATTGGCTGTGTCCAAATGCACCGTGTCCAAGTGCACCGCTCCCCTTAAAAGACGTTGACGTCAAGACATATCTTCGCCCTAAAATACGGGCTGTACAACGAGGTTGCGATACACTGTAAAAACATAAATAATTTAACGCGGTTGCAATACACAATTAAAGATAAATGATTTACAAAAAAATAATTATTGAGACTTATTTTTTTTTTTCTCGTACGGTGGAGCATCATCTTGCACTGGTACGTAATAGTTCATACGTTTTCCTTCAGCACTGTGCATTCTTTTCAAAATAATTATTGTCCACTAAATGTCTTTGTTGCAAAACGACTGATGCAACGAGCGACCAAGAACCGCTTTAAATACGTTTCAAAATCCCCTCCCCCAACCGAAAGCATAATAATAATAATAATAATAATAATAATAATAAATGAGGCTCACCTAATTTTTATCTATATCTACTGTATAAATACATTTAATCAAATCATTCAACCAATCTCTGATATAGCGCCGTAGATAACCGATCGAATACTCATATATCGATTGAGTGTTTCGCGCCATACTGCATCATCGAAAAAGTCGATTCCCAATATTTATATCAAAAGTGCAGTCCAAACATATTCATGCAAGATTTCTTTCTTGTGTGCCACTATGCAGCATTTTTGTGCTGACACATCGATTTGCAATCGACAGTTAGATGCATAGAAAATGTGAAACATGATATTATTATTACAAATGAACACGTGCGACAGTAAGATTCGCAGAAAATGTGAAACAAGATACTATTACGAAGGTCATAGAAGTATACATATTTTGCACACATGCAATCCCTCCTAAACGAGACACATTTTTGCTAGAGACAGATGGAAATATATAATACTGATGATATGTATAAGTTTAGAGTCGTACTATGCCAATTTGCACAGCAGCAGCAGCAGCAGCATTTGTAAATCTAGTGTGCACTTTGTAAAAGAAATGGAAGATTTTGCGCAAATCGAGCGAGAATTGCGGGAGCAGTCGGCTC